TTTGGGTGTGTGTCTTGCAAACAATTGGCTGCATTGGCCTATTGGGGTGTCTCCATCTGCATCCTGCCCCCCCCCCAAGTACTGCTGATCTACAATCAGGGCTGCACAAGGAACTTAACTCACACCGTGGCACGTTGGAAGTTGTAGTTTACCAATTTAGCTGCCACTGTGAAGAAACAAACTCAGAGTGCAGATCTCTCTCTCTCTCTTTCTAAAACCAGCTTTAAAAGAAACTGGGCTTTGCAGAGGAACTTCAGCAGAATGGGAATTTGAACCCAGTGCCGCCTAATTGTGATCACGTTGAAGCTGTGCGTAGAGAGCACCGGAGCAGAGCTGAAGTCCATAAGTTGGCCTCCTGGATCTTAAGAGTTGAGAAGCCCTTTGGGTTGAAACCCCTTTGTCCTTAAAGGAGTCGGAAAGAGAAGGCAGCTGGCCCCCTTGAAAAGAAAACTCGAAAAATCAGAAGCCGTGGGGAGCTGTCCTCGCACAGGACTAGAACCTTGAGACGCAAACATCCAGCTTCTAATTCTTCTCTCTCTCTTCCTTCTCCTTTTTCTCTGCAGGGAATCTTCATTTCAGCTCCAGCAGGGAGTAGCCCGACTCCTGCCAGCTCCAATAAGGGAAGAAAGGCAGGTCGGAGAGAGCCGGGAGGGAAGGGCCCGGAGCGCAGGAGGAGTGCAGGAGGAGCGGCTGCGGGGGACCCACCCCGCCGGGCAGCCAAAAGAGGGGACAGGGCTCGTAGCCGCCCAGGGGGACGATTCCCGGCGGGCGGTGGCCGATCGGGTGCGAGGGGGGCTGCCCCACCGCCGCGGGGGCCCAGAGGCATCCAGCCGGGGCGCAGGAACGCTGGACGGGCGGCTCCGGGGCTCCCACGCGAGGCGGGGAAGGTGGAGGAGCGGTCCGGGGCTGCTGGGGTCTCCGGGCGCGTCTCCGCCGCCGGTACTTGCCCGGCTCGAACATGCCTCGGAAAGCCGGATCCAGCGTCCAGTCGCTGCCCTTGCGCGGGGCGCCCACGCGGGGCACCTTGACGAAGCACTCGTGCAGGCTCAGGTTGTGGCGCACGCTGTTCTGCCAGCCGCGCTGGCCCAGCCGGTAGTAGGGAAAGCGGCCGGCGATGTACTGATAGATGGCGCGCAAAGGCAGGCGCCGGCCCGGGCTGGCCTCGATGGCCATGGCGATCAGGACCACGTAGGAGTACGGGGGCTTCGGGGCGCTCGAAGCCGCCTTCTCCTCCTCCTCCTCCTCCGTGGCCGTCTCCCCGGATCGCCCCTCGCCCGAGCTAGCCAAGTGCGGGGCGCAGCGCTTGGAGAGGCTCTCCAAAGTGCGCCTTTGGAGAGGCCGCGCGCCCGCCTCTCCTTGCCCGCCTCTCTCCGCTTTGGGGGAGTCGGGGGTCCCGGCCAGGCAAGGGCACGGGGAGCCCCCGGAGGAGTGTAAGGGCTCCAGTTTCGGGGCGCTTTGCTGGGCTTCGGGGGGCGATCGCGGCTTAGCAAGCTGCGCCCAGCTCCTCGGCAGCCCGGTGCGCTTCTGCGCCCCTGCGCTGACCTCTGCGCCCCGCGGTTCAGAGACGGGTCACCGGGAGATGTAACTCTCCGGAGAGATGTAACAAATGTAGCCCCACATTTGAGAGGGGGTTGGGAATTCTTGTTCTCCCTGCATTTGGCTTTTCTTCGGATAGTTATTGCAAGGGATCTTTTAGAGTTGCATGCGCCGTTTTTTATACTTCGATGTGTTCTTATATTTCTATTCTATTCGAGCTTCGGTGAGATGCGTTATATAAATTGAATAAAATAAAGGATCAAGAGTTGAAGGAGCGAGCGGAGCTGCAACCCTGCCTATGCTCTAATTTACTCCTGTTTGCAACTCATCTCCAAAACGGCCACCGTTTTGGAGGAGAAATGCGAAATGTGTAACTTTGCAAGCTCTGCCTGGCGCGTTTAGTATAATTTCCTTTGCGTGTTACATTGCGAAGCCTCTTCGGCTCCTGCAGTATTTGCAATAATTCAGCATAAAGAGGATTTACACCAGCGCCCTAACACCAACCGCTGCCAGCCTTGGCACAAAGGTCCCAACTCATCTTGGTTTATTGGACGTTGACACTTTTAAATCAGATGCATTTTGACCAAGATAGTTTGCAACTTGCTTAGCCATCTGATATCTCTTACAGGCAACGCCTTCATGTTTTCCTAATCTTCATTAAACTTTCAGGAGAGATTATGGGAATCTTAGTCCCCAGACGGGACGGGCAATCAATTGGAAAGCATAAGATTTTATGATGGGAATGAATAAAAAAAATTATCAATCCATATTATATTATCCTTAGGTTACAAGGGCATCCTGAATTTCTTAAGCTTAGCAAGTTTGAGGGGGAGGGGAAAAGTGGCGGTAAAAAACACACAACAATCCAAGGATTAAAAACTACAAAATTAAAACTACAAATTTAAAATTGCCTCTTCAAAAGGATGCGCAAATCTGTGGTCGGAAAGTCTGCCCCCTTGTGGATACCTTTGGTCATATCGTTCCCCCAAAGAGAAGTTTTTAAAATTGGATTTAATGTCAGACCGAGAGAGATGCACGAGGAAAAATAGTTAATATTGCCACGGAAGGCCAGTTGTTATTGCTTTGCACGTTGTTTGGGAAACGTCGTTTCAAATTAAACTGAACCGAACGCGAACAAATTCTTTGCTTTCTTTTGTGGGGTGCAATGGCACACTGTCTCCACTAGAGGACACACTTTCCTAACAGATTCTTTTTTCAATTCTTCCCTTTTTTAATATTCCTTTTTTTTTTTTAAAGTGTGATTATGCACATCAGAGCACAAGCAACTTTGAACGGTTAAAAATTTTCTCCACTTTTGTACAGAAACAAGGGCCGTATGAATTCTTACAGGACAGCGTTAAGATATACTTTAATGTCAACTTTGGGTCACATTTGCACTGGGGTAATATAATTTGGGCAGTTGATCCTTTTACCCTCTTGGGAAAAAAATGCAACATTCCATCTGCCAGAATTATAGGCCTTGGTGGGGGGCACCAGGTTGCAAAATGTCATTTCTGTTTAGCAAATGGATCTTACCTTGAAACTCTTTGCTTCTTCTACACCTCCCTCCCTGTCTATATGATGCAAAACCCAAGAAACTCAAGATCCAACATCACCTTTATTCTTACCGTTTTATAAAGAAAAATAATCTTTCGAAACGCAGAACATAAAACATCTCAAAAGAGGAAACAAAACAGAGGGGGGGAAAAAACACCCTTCTCCTTGGGCATGAATTCTTAAACAAACCAATGAGAGGCAGATTCTCTCCAGCCTCCTTAAGTAGAAAATGAAATAAAAGATCCCGTTTTCTTAAAATGGCGTTCAGTGGCATTCCCACCCATTGTAAAAATTCAAGCCTCGCAGGACACAGTGTATTTGATCATTCTTGTACATTCAGCAAGAAGCTAGTCCTCATGGAGTACTGCGGTATTTAGGTGTGCGTCTTTGTGTATAACAAAAGATACAAAGAGACAGGGAGAGAGGGATTGCTTCTACAGAAATGTGGTTAATTTGGGGGGAAAAAATTCCTTTTCAGTTGCCAAACATTTTAGACAACTATTTATTCCCCATGAGAAAAGGAAAAAACGGAGACAGACGTAGGCAAAACCAAACCAACATGAAATATACATTTAAAAAAACCGGCTTTCTCATGTTTTTTTTTTCCTATCATTCTGAAGTTTAAGAGAAAAAAAAGTTTGAAAAGGAATAACCATTAAGACACTCGGTACTTAACACTGTGATAAAGGAACACTGTGCACCAAGTGTGATTTTAATAAGTGTCTCCTAGCACCAAAAACTACAGGCCTCTTGTTTTGATCTGTCATGTTTCCCCCCCCCCCCCCCCC